CACAAGCTGGCAGCACTTTGGCCAGGCGTTGCCTCGGGTTTTGCGTTAGGATGGAACCCAGCTGTAGTGGCCATGTGTTCAAACTGGTGTTCAAACTTCCTTGCAAAGGTGACGTTGTCGGGTTCCAGGCCAGCTGAGGATCACAAAACCCATTGTCCCTAACTGGTGCTGATTGGCATCTTTGTTGGCTGCCAGAGAGGGCAAGGATGGAAGGGCCTTGGAGAACGGACTATGTTGTCAGCACTGGTGTGGCTAGGTCACAGATAAGGCATTTTGGAAGGGAGAAGACACGCAAGGGAAGCTTTGTGGTGTTGCATACTCCATCTGTTCTGTGGATCAATAAGGGGCTTTAGTCTTCAGGGCTCTCAATCCAGCAGCTTTCACCAGCACCAAAGAAAGAGAGGAGATATAACATCTTTATGGATTCAGAACTACAAAGCCTATATCACATTTCATGACTGGATTAAGAGAGATGTAGCAATTAGAACGGGAAAAGATCTCTTGCGTCATCTGTAGTAGTCCATTCCATCACCAGTGCAGGCCTGTTCCATACAGTGTGTTTATAAAAAAAAAAAAATAAATACAGCATTCTTTATAACAATTAAAAACAAACAAACAAAAAAAACCTCTGTGCGTCTCTCCTCAATGCCTGGAGATACTGCTGTAGATCAATGAACTCAAGTGACACCAAGTAATTCGGTGAATTATAATCTTTGACGGAAATCCAATACATCCTGCAGATACTGAGTTAAAGTTAACAGATTGTCACCAGTGGAAGACCAGATTTCTCTGTACTCTGCTGAGAAGCAACAGCGTTCTTGATAAAAGTGGGGGGAGTTAATACGGAATTTAATGTGGGAATCTCTTTCTACTGAGTGTTTCAGAGGATACATTGAAATAGCAAGTGTCTGCCTTGTCATTTTTGGTTTAATATGTTGATTATCTCCGCAGTTCACACTCCCAAGAACCTGCTTGTAATCCATTTAGAAATAAAAGTCTCTGCAGCAACAAAAACACTTATCTGATTTGGAAGCAGCCATAAAACCGCTTTGCTTGTCAGTTTTCAGCACTGTGCCTGAGGAAGAGTTGATATTATTCCTGCTTTGCAAAGGTGTTAATAAATACAGATGTAAAACCATGCTTTGGATAGCATCTCTCGTTCAGGCTGCATCCGCCATGTACTTAAAACTTCAGTCACAAAGTTTTAAATTAAAATAAATAGGAGAGGGAGAGAGAAATTAAGATGCATCAGGAAGGGAGAAGAGGGCTGATTTCAGCTGAGGTTTGAAATGAGATGGACAGCTGATAAGATGGAAAGATGCGGGAAAGAAGCTCCAGATAACAGGAGAAGGGGAATGCTCTAGCATCTCTGGGGTGAGCTGCAGAAACCAGGCCGGTGTGAATGGAATGTAGGGAACAGGTAAGGAGATAAATAGACTCTACGATGTCCAAAAATAAGCAACTTTTCAATTAACAAGTCCAGAGGGATCATTCCGTCTCATTCAGAATGCCTGAGTGTTTCATTTACTCCAGAAGACACTTCTGGCTCCATGTGACTGAAAACTAAAGACAGACCTGAGCTGAGGAACTCTGACATACAAACTTCCCACCTTGCTAAAGAGTTCAGCTTCCTTGTTCTAGCTCAGGCTGTTCTTCTGAAAATGACCATCTGACCACAAGGTGTCTCTTCATTCTCAGGCCTTTTAATCATTGTCTGGAAGCCCCAAAATCAGACATGGCCTTCCAAGAGCAGGCGAAGAGGGGATAATCAAGCGCACAAGCATTGCAGTTGGCCAGCTGGAATGGTGATGCTCAGTAAAGTTACTTGCAGTTGCTCAAGGATCAGTCGGTCGTGTGAAACTTATCACAACTTCTCTGGTTTGGAGTCCTGTTATGAACCAGAAATTTAGGCTGGATTCACCACACAGTTCAAAGAGGTTCATGGTTAAAGTATTGGGCAGATCTTAAGTTATGTTCCCATTGGATAACTTCAGAACCGGGCCTGCACTTTACACTTGGTCTCTTCCTCTCTAATGGGTCAAAGCAAACCATAGATCCAAACACCATATCCAAAGCTCATATCCAAACTTGGTGGCATGGGCCCATGCCTAGTTTTGACCTCAAACCAGGTAGCAGTTGGTGCTTTGAGTTGTGTTTCATGTAGAGTTTTTATATTGGTTTAAAGCAACACAATTCAAAGCAAAATTTGGTTGGAGGTTTGAGAGCCCGCACAAGCACAGAGCAAATTAAAACTGTTCCTTCCTTCACACCCAAACTACCATGCTTGCCAAAGTCTGTCAATGATCCTTTGTCTGTCCTGACGGATATGGATCTGTGTGATTTTAAACTGAGAATCATCTTTCTTTAAAATGACTTGACTTTGCCTCCATTTTGCCAAAGACCATTCTTTGTAAAGGGGGAAAATAGCCTTTAGCAAGGAAACCACAAGATGGTGAATGGGCTTGCGGGAGGGGGCACAAGGGGTTGGTTATGTTTTTTGTTTATCTACCAGGTTTGAAGTTTGGGAAGGCTGCAGTGACAGTCTGTCACATTCTCAAAAGGTCTCTGGAGGACTCTCCTGTCCTCTCGGGATATTTTCCATCCAGCATTCTCACTATTGCAATGAGCCAGCCAGTATGTCCATGCTGCTGTATGTGTACGCGTGACCGCCATCTACTGGACAGAGTCAGAACCACTCAACTGTGTCAGAGTTGTCCTGCTAACAGTCAAAGGAGATTCTCCTTCGGCGGTTATAGAAGAGTCCTGTACTTTTTGGAATAGGAGTATCTGAGTTCTGTCCCTGCTGTTGCTGTAAAGCTACAGATGACCGTGGTGTGCATCCTGGTAATAACTGAGAAGACTTAGGCAGCCAAAGATTTGTTACACTATTATCTAGCGATTTGCCCGTAAGTTTTGTTAATGACATTGTAAATCTTAACATTTGCAATGCTTCCTGTCCCATCTCCTCAGGATAAGTGATTGGCTTAAGGCAGACCATGTGAGCTCAGAGCTGTACTAATGAATGAACTGAGACAGATAATCTCTCTTTGTAGAGTCACTTGGAAACACTATTTTTTTTCATAGCTTTTTCTAGGCCAGAGGGGACCTTTATGCTCACCTAGTCTGACCTCCTGTATAACACAGGGCATAAAACCTCACCCCCATTATTTCTTGTAGCAAGCCCCTAACTTTCTGTTGAGCTAGTCAGAAGTTTTCAAACTTCATTGCACCGTGACCCACTGCTGACAACAAAAATTACTACACGACCCCAGAAGGGGGGACTGAAGCCTGAGCCTGCCTAAATCCTGCCACCCAAGGCTGAAGCACTCGGGCATCAGCTTCAGCCCAGGGCAGTGGGGCTCGCCCATCAGCTTCGGGCCTGGGGCGTTGGCTTCAGCCCCGGGCTCCAACAAGTCTAATGCCAGCCTGGGTGACCCCAGTTTGAGTACGGCTGAGCTAGATCATAACTTTTAGAAAGACATCCAGACTTGATTTAAGATGTTCAGGTGATGGACAACATCCCACAGTCTTAGGTATCCTGTTCCAATGGTTGATTGCCCTCATTGTTAAAAAACGTGCCTCCTCTTTCTAGTTTCAATTTGTCTAGTTTCAGTTTCCAGCCATTGGATCGTGTTATGCCTTCGTCTGTTAGATTAAAGAGACCTCTGCTATCACAAATCTTCTGATGTAGCTGCCGATAGACTGTGATCAAGTCACCTCTTAACTTTTTCTTGGAGAGATTAGATTGAATTTCTTACTTTTCTCAGCATAAGGCAGATTTTCCACCCCTTGAATCATTTTTGTTCTCTGCTCATCCAGATCTGTTGTTGTGGATGGTTTTCAGTGGCTACTCTGTTCCACTCCCAGTGAAGTGCCCGCGTTTCACGGGTGGGTTATGTGGGTAATATTTTTCAAGCAGTGCAAGATTCTTTAGGGTGGAAAGTGCTTGACAAGAAATGCAAGTTGTGTTGTTTCTTTGTGCAGTATTTGACAGGATAAGGAATCTGAAAATCTACATAAGTTATCTGGCTGCTGGCCTGACAGGAGCAAGTGTTGACAGTTAGTTTTAACTTTACAAATAAAAGCATGAACAGAAATGACCACTCAGTTAAATGCATCTACTGGGCAAACAAAGCAGTACCTGCTGAAACTCTGTGTGTTGTGTTTACTTTGAAACGCAGACTCCAAGAGAGATCTATGAATCTGTAGGACGAGGCAAGGGCTGTAGGTAAAAGAAGTTTGAATGAAGAGGCTGATGGGAATATGAATTGGGCACATCTGCTCACTGAACAAGATCAGGATGAGAAGGGGGTGGTTGTACTTGAATACAAGAGTTCATTCAGGGAGGTTCCTTTGTCCTCCTTAACCCTATTTGCCTCACAGTTGGGATTTGGAATTAACTTTAGAAAGCAGATGTTAGCAGCCCTGCAGGTATTAGAATTTTTGGGTTATGTCTCTGATTGCTGGGAGCTTGGCTTGGTCTCCACTTGCAAGGGCGGTGCCCCTCCTCATTTCTAACTAGTTGAGTTCTCACGTGTTCTGACCACTGATGTGGTGATCATGCCAACCAAAGACCTAAGGCTGCTCCCTAAGGAAATGGAAGGGTTTTCTTTCCTGCCCACTGATTTGGTCTCCACATGCTCTCCCCTTCATGTTTACCTGGAACATCCTTCCCTGTCTCAGGCAGACATAGATTTTTTGCATTCTCCAGCCCAGAGGCTACATCCAAGACAGTGTCCCCACAGTTAGTATAACTGGTTGTCTGGTACTGATTGGATGATGGTAGAAGAATTCTCTCTATCCCTTGGAGCAGAGACCTGTGCAGCTCATAATGCTACCAGCAAAAGCGATAAAACTGAGGGCTTGCATGGCAACACGTCACTCAGCAGCAATGCTGCTGCCATCCCTGCTGGGCCTGCAGCTGAACCCTTAGGAGGTCAGCATTGTAGGTGCTGTGTAATGCTGAGGAAATAATTCTTGCTTTGTTTTCTCCCTCTTAGTTTGACCCCGAGAGCACTGGCTACATCAGCCCTGAGAAATTCCAAAACCTCCTCCAGAGACACGGCTCGGAGCTGGACCCACACAAACTGGAGGTTCTCTTGGCCTTGGCAGACAATAATTCAGATGGGAAGATCTGTTACCAGGACTTCGTCAACCTGGTAAGTGAGCCACCAGGAGGAGCAAATCTCAGTCTTACATGCTGGGTTTGCTTCTGATGTAAAATGTTAAGCAAAGAGGAGCAGCTGTTCTGTTCCGAGCAAAGATTTGCTGGATCCCTCCACAAACTCTGGGTGGAGTTTTCAAAAGAGCTCAGTGGTAGCCAAGCTCTGAAGTTGATGGTAAAGCTCCCATCAACTTTAATGGAAACAAAATTAGGCCAGTGCTGGGCGCTTCTGAAAATCCCCTGCAGTGTGTGTTTTAAAGGAGTTAGAAGGTGCCACCCCTGGGACGTTCCTTCCCCTCCATCTGCACTTTTAGCTTCCAGGCATTCGGGAGGATGGCAGCCTGCCAGGAGTTCCACGCTTTCAGGGGAAGCACTGAGAAGCCAGCAACTCTCAGCGTTTACTTAGGTGAGACAGTTGACCAGGCTGCTTGGGTTCTGATGACCCAGGCTTCAGGGCTGCATGTTTGCAACAAACTCATGTGGGACTGATTTCCAGACTCAAAACTGCCAGTCGAGGCTGCTCATGGTGACCTGTTGTGCAGGATGGCAAATAATTAATGAAAAAATGGTTCTGTTGGACTTTAGATTCCCCCAGCCCTGGGATTTCCTTCCTCCGCCTAGGCGTCTCTGAGCGGAAATCATGATTGTCCAAATTGGGTGCTGAGGGCTGTTGTCAGCCATACCCCATGGGCCCTTAAAACTGACTGTGTGGTTCCATTCCCACTGCAGAGGGGCCTGAAACATGGGTAACATTTTCAAAAGTGACCTAAGGTGTGTCTGCCACTGAGCTGTGATTGGAGCGTGGGTAAGTTTACCTGCGCGGGTAACAATAGCATCATAGACATGGCAGCCTGAGCTTCAGCGTGGGCTGGCAACCTGACTAGAACTTCTGGGGAGCCTGGGGATGTACTCAGGTTGCTAGCCTATGCTGAAGCCTGAGCTGCAATGTCTTCGTTACTTCTGTTACCTAATGGAAGCTAGCCCACATATGCCTACCCACACTACAATATACCTTTGCTTGCTATGTAAACCTACCCCATGGCACTTGGGACCTTGCCTTCCATTGACTTTCAATGAGACCTAGACGCCTAGGCATCCATGTCATTTTTGAAAATAGGATTTAGGTTCCTACGTCATTTAAAAATGTTACCCTTTATTTCTGTCTCGCTTGCTGGCTTCTGGCTATGGGATCTGTTTGTGACCAGGATCACACAGGCAGTGCTAGAAATAGTCTTGTGCTCCATAAACAGCTACTGCTGTGAAAACAAGGGCGGGGGGGGAATGGTGTTTTTCGATAAGCTGTTTCCCACCAGTCTGCTCTCATCTGCCCACGTGCAGAGAGACCTGCCTTCTTAGGCAACCTGGCCCTTCCGGGGATCCTCGGCTGACAGTAAAGATTCTCCTTTTTCTTTGCGTCGTGCACTCAGTCTCTCTCGATATGTCAGTCAATATACTGTATGATGTGTTTTGTTCAAAGGTAGATTTCTCTCTGGGTAGCTGTAGGCTTAGGAATTTCACACGGTATAAAAAATTCTAACTAAGCTTGTGTTGATCCCATCTGACCAAAGAATGTTGCTAATGAGGCTTTGAGCCGTAATAATTCTCCAGTGCAGGAGCTGGCGTAAACTGTGAGAATGGCCGGTACGGGTGCCTGATGTTAAAATAAAACTGGCAAGCAACCCGACCAAGGGGAGACGGGCCAGCCTAGCCTCTGAACCTGAAACCAGCAGCTGCCCTAGCCCACTCAGGGCGAGGTTAAAAGCTACAGTGAGGCTTGCTGCCTGTGCCTTGTGGTGTAGGGTATGAGCCCCTTTACACCATCTGAGCCCTGAGGAAATAGGACATCTTCTCCATTTATCGCAGCTCGGGCTGGGGCTCGTTTCCTGTGTCGCCTGCTCAGCAGGAACCCTCCATCCACAATTCCTCCAACTCCCGCCACAAACACACTTGCTAGTTTCACTAGGTCTGGCTCCATCACACGTTCTGCCCTGCTTCCACCATCTCCGCCTGCCTTGACTCGCTCTTCCCCTCCGCCTCCTCTCCCGACAGCAGCAGCACAGCGTGGGGAACATGGGGGGTGGCAAAGATGGGATGTACAGACTATGGGTGTTGCAGCCGAAGGGTGAGGGGGAAGAATCATAGAATATCAGGGTTGGAAGGGACCCCAGAAGGTCATCTAGTCCAACCCCCTGCTCGAAGCAGGACCAATTCCCAGTTAAATCATCCCAGCCAGGGCTTTGTCAAGCCTGACCATAAAAACCTCTAAGGAAGGAGATTCTACCACCTCCCTAGGTAACGCATTCCAGTGTTTCACCACCCTCTTAGTGAAAAAGTTTTTCCTAATATCCAATCTAAACCTCCCCCACTGCAACTTGAGACCATTACTCCTCGTTCTGTCATCTGCTACCATTGAGAACAGTCTAGAGCCATCCTCTTTGGAACCCCCTTTCAGGTAGTTGAAAGCAGCTATCAAATCCCCCCTCATTCTTCTCTTCTGCAGACTAAACAATCCCAGCAACAAGAGGCAGGTTAGGGCGTGGTCCGGCACATGTTGAAGCCAGTGGCAAGCTCTCATTTGCTCCATTGGTGCAGGGGTAAAGAGCTTGGATCCTGCACCATTGAAGTTTTGCCACTGACTCCAAAAGCTGCAATCCTGCTCCCATTATCTCTTTGTGATCTGGTTTCCATGTCAACAACGTAGGAATAAGAGTGGGCTCCTGCCTCACCTTAGTGATGCTTGTTGAAATGCCACGGAGGCCCTGCTGAAAGGTGCTGCATGATCCTGCTGCAGAGTGTCACTGTTAGGGGATGTTTCTCTTGGTCCCCCAGCAGTCCCTCCGTTTTATTACTTACCTGTTGTTTTCTCACTTTAGGCTGCAGGCTCCCTCTGGGTATCCTAGGGTGCCTGAGCTCAATAAACACGAGAAAAGCCTACCAGGGTCGAGCTATCAGGCATCCTGTTCATGCCCTCGGCTGTGGGTGAGCAGGGAGGTGAAATTACCCTAGGATGAGGCACTGAAATAGATCTGTTGGTTTAATCATGCCGTCTTAGCAGCTCCTTGTGTGGTTTTATGTACACCGGGAAATGCAGCAGCAATAAATTGGAATGCTGTTTGGTGAGTGATCACCTCTCCCCGCCAGCTGAAGGCTCATGGACGGAGTGGTTGGTAATACCCCATGTTCAATGGTACAGGATCATGTTTCGCACCCATCTACAGTTTCATGTGTTCAAAGTCCCGTGTGAGCATTTTACTACTTAAGCCTCACAACGCCTTTTTGGGACAAGTATCGTTAAACTCCTTTTATGGATGGAGAGAAGCTGAGGCAGAGAGGTGAAATAACTTGCTCAAGGCCGCTCAGACAATTGTTGTTAGCTGTGGGATTAGAACCATCGGCCTTTCTTCAGGCTACCAACCAACATGCTTAGTCCACCCAGACACAAAGCAAATGTGACTGATGGAGCGAACACTAGGAGTCTGGAGAACTATCTGAAATCCATCACACAAAGATCCTTTTTGACCCTGGCACATCATCCCCACTTATAGGAAGGGGAGTTACCTGCAGGTTTTGAAGAGAGGCCGTCCTGAACCATTACTGCCTGAAATGCTTGAACAGAAAGGAAAATGTCATACTTTATGGAGTTAGCTTGATAAGAAACTATTTGGTTTCCTATCACCTCTCCTTTTATCTCCCTCATTAACATATTTGCTCTAGCTAATCAATAGACCCGCAGGGGCTGAAAAGCTAAATTACTTATAAATGGTGCCTCTTTTTCACCTCCCCCAGGCTGTTTAGTGGGTGCTATACATCAAACTTTCCAAGGCTGCTTCTCCTTTCCTCGTCTTTCACTCTCCTTACAAGCTTCATGCCACGCTCTTCCTGGGGAAATAGGCAAAGAGCAACGTAGGAATAATAAAACTGATCGGGAAAAGCATGGATGAGATGGCTGGTTTTACAGCAATCTGATTCATTTGATAGCTGGGCCCTGCCCTGTTTGTTTACAAGCCAGCATGGTCTAGTGATTAAGGCTCTGGCTGGGGAGCTGGGTTCTGTTCCTGCCCCTGTGTGACCTTGAGCAAATCACTTCCCCGCTCTGCTTCTGCTCCCCGTCCACTTAGTTTGTAAGCTCCTGGGGGCAGGGAGGGTCTCTTAGGCACAGTGGGGTCCTGAGCTCGGTTGGGGTCTGTCATGCACATCAGAAGAATACGAAAACATTTCATACATAACCTCAGTTATCTTATCAAAAGACAGGAAGGAAAGCTCGAAGGGCAGATCTGAACAGTCTGTGCCCAGCAGATAGCCTCTTCTCTGGGGTTGCTGAGCTGTGGAAAGGTGTTCAAAGCAGAACTCTTTATACTCCTGGAAGTGACTGACCATCCCTTAGCCAAAGATGTATGTTTCACTTTGGATGGGGGCTGAATGTCTTCAAAGATTGCCCCTTTAATTCCCTCTCACTCACCACATTCACCCACCCACAAAGGCCTCACAGCAAAGAGGGAGAAATAAGCACTGTGAAGCAGAGAGTATCTCTTCCTATGTGTGTGTACAGCTCCTGGCACACCGAGACCCTGATCTCAGTGAGGCTCTCTTGGCCCTACTGTAATACAAGTAACAAAACTCTGCCAAAGAGGATCCGCCCTTTGAAGTTTGAAGACTTGAGCCAGAGGTGGTTCCACTACTTCAATGCAAAAATCCATTGGAAATACCTGTAATCTAATGCCCAAGGTGCATGGACCTGTGAGTGCGATGAACTTCCATCTGGCACAAGCAGTGATAAATCTCCTTCAGGGGAATGGGGTGATATTGGAATAGATGGGGAAATGTGGGACGTTTCATATATTTATAAAAGTTCAACTGCTGGAGAGCAATTTTTCTTATTATCAAGGAAAACCCTGCATGGCAGCAAGAATTATGTTGATGAGCACTTTACAAATAGCTAAAATGGAACGTATGTGATAGACAGATAATACCTGTATTGAAGTCCTTGCATATACG